TGAAGCTCTTGTGGTGAAGCTTTGATGTTGAAACTTTGTAGGTGAAGCTTTGAGGTTGAAGCTTTGTTGGGCACCATGAATTGATTTTCCTTCACACTATCTTGATTAAGAGTGTGTGAAGCTTTTGAGAGTTGTAGTTACCCTTCATTTGTTGAAGTTGTTGAATTTCCCAATTTTTTTTTTTTAGGAAAATTAGAAATTTGAAAATATGGGAGAGATAACATATACAAATTTTGCTTTCATACTGTTGAGCAAGAGATTGTATTGCAAGCCAGACCTTGTAGTAGTCGAAGGTTTGGATGAACCATATAAATTGAATTTGCTTCGAACAGTCTTGATCAAGAGTATGTAAAGCTTTTTACGAGCTATAGTGTTTGCATTGTTACAGAGGAAAAATGTCTGAAGCAGATGTAAGAGGGTTGAAGAGCTTGATCTTCATATACCATGCGCTGAAACCGTTGTTGGCTTGCAATAAGACTTTGTTGGTGACTATAACTCTTGTTAGGTATAAGTGCTCCCCTAGTTGAGTTGTAAAGCTTGAAGGTTTTTGATTATTTATGAATGCTAGGAATTCACATGTACAAGTTGTATCACTCGTCTTCTGGTTGGTGGAATGAATGGTGAGTTGCTTTCATCACTTGGTTAGTGGTACGAATGTGAGTTCCTTTATCACCTTTCATCACATTTCACCACCTGGTTGGTGGCACGAAGATGAGTTCCTTCTTTACTTGGTTAGTGGCATGAGTGGCAAGTTGTCAAATGATATTAGAGTACATATTGTACATTTCATCACCTGGTTGGTGGCATGAAGGAGAGTATGAGTTGTACATTTCATCACTTGTTTGGTGGCATGAAAATAAGTTTCTTCTTCACCTGGTTGGTGGCATGAATGGCAAGTTGCCAAATGATATTAGAGTACAGGTTGTACATTTTATCACCTGGTTGGTGGCATGAAGGAGAGTACAGGTTGTACATTTCATCACCTCGTTGGTGGCATGAAGATGAGTTCTTGCTTCACATATCATCACTTGGTTAGTGAGAATAAGGGCAAGGTGTCAAGGCACATTGTAGCAAGTGTCAAATGACATAAAGTATGTTGAACCCTTTCGAAGCACAATTGATTTATGTATGGATGTGTTGGAATGTATGATGTTTATGTTTATGTATGAATGTGTTGGAATGTATAATGTTTATGTTGATTGACATGAGTGATGCTTATGAATGTTTTGCTATGCATGAAGGGATCCATGTTTTCGATATGTGAACCATGTTGGTTGTAACACTTAGTATCACATACTTTGTGTCAAAGTACGCATGTTGAAGCTCTGAGTTGGAGTATAGGGGTAGGTCAACGTAGACCAAGTGTTCTAGTGCTAGGAATGCAAAAGATTCAGAAGAAGTTGTCTGAATTCCCTCTTCTTTAAATATTTGCCGAATGGCTTGTGTGACAAAAGATCTCAAGTGGTTGAGAGTCAAAACATTTGTAATGTGTATGCCTTCTTATAATAGCATTTCTTTCAGTACCCAGTCCTCCACTTTGAAAAAGTGAGGCTTGGCCTCATAGTCTTAATAGTCAACGATACGTTCACCTCTAGTTGTCTTGATACGAACTTTTATCCCTCTTGTTGTAATAGGCTTGCTGAGAGTAAAAATTCTTCCTCTTACCAAGAGACAAATACGTTGGGTGACTTAGTAAGTAGCTAAATGAGGCAGGAGATGATGCAATAGGTGTCTGAATGGCCAAGATCTCTTCACTTGGTAGAACTTGACTTCCACTTCTCACTTGTTGATAGGGGTTAACCATATGAAGATCCCCTTGGTATGTCCTTGCTTCGGCGGAGGCGTGGTTGTAAGCATGTGCCATCACCCCAGAGTAAGTCTTCCAAGTGTTGGCATTGATCATGTACTTGAAGAAACAATCACGTAGGCCTGCCGTGAAGGCTTTGATGGAGGTCTCGTCATCTGCCTCAGCGCAGTGAGAATACTCATAGCTAAAGCGGCCGACATACTTTCGTAGTGACTCGTCCGGCTTCTGACGAATAATATACAAGTCATCTGCGGAATGCAAGCGATCTGTCTGGAAGATGTGTTGAGAGACAAACAGTTTCCTCAGTTCCTCAAATGAGTTTACTGTCTCAGGTGGAAGACGACAATACCAATTCAGAGCTCCGCCAGAGATAGTAGAAGGGAAGAGAAGACATCGTTCTTCGTCGGTGTGCATTCGGTATACCATGGTGGACGGTTAAGGTGTTCAACTGGGTCCTCCTTTCCACTGTAAAGTTGTAAGCCAAGCTTCTGCTTTGTCTTTGCTTGGAGGGTGTGTCGAGGATCCTCTTTGTAAGAGGGCCAGGCCTAGGTTGGTTCCAGTCAGGTATTTCAGCCTGACGTTCGACCTTCAACTTGTTTACTTCCTCAAGGAGTTGTAGGACAATGGGGTCCTGAGTGGAGTCAGGTATTGCTGGATCATTCTTCTGTAAGTCTCCATCTCCTCTTGGAAGTAGGAAAGTTTGATCAAGGGCATAAGATTTTTCTTTGGACTCACCGTACTGACTTCCAGGGCAAGCCTGTCAAAACGCCCCCGAGTCCCTTGTACCTTCATATTCATCTAGGACATGTCGCTCATTCCCTAGATTGGCAGTTGGCTTGGGGCATGTGAGATGACTGAATCTGTCAGAAACCTTTGGGTTATTGACCTTCGAGTTTATGTGGATGGGGTTCTCTCGACGTTGCCTCAGGAAGTCTTGACAGTCGCGATAAACGACTTTTGATCTTTTTACTTTTTCTGCAAGAAGGTGCATTCCTCCACTTCTCCTGCTTCGGGTCGAAGCAGTTGGGTCGAGAGATGTCTCATGTTAATCAACACCTTGATGAGTAACTCGCTCCCCATCAGGGATATCCATGTTGAAGACAGGTGATCCCTCATGTTGGGGGACACCCAAGTGGTGGTTGACTTCCTCAAGGACGATGAGTTCGTGTGTTTAAGTATGCCTAACTTCATGGAGCATCCTGAAGAGCTTCTCATACTGCTCCTGGATGATCTCATTCTTTATCGCTATCTTGTTGTTCTGAGCCTTTGGCTCATCGACTTTAGCCTGAAGAGCAAACTTCTTTCGTTCCTTCTTTCGTTGCTTCGCACTAAGTGCGAGGGGGTGTCGTTCTGAGTGCTGTGGCTCCCTTCACTCCCCATGTTGGAGAGGGCTGCTTGGTCGAAAGAATTTGTATGAATGGTGGAAACCAGCTTGACAAAGCTGGAGAGAGTAGGAATAAGTGTGATTCCCACAGACGGCGCCAAATGTTGATGCACAAAATTGGCGAGGACTTTGGTACAACAGAAAGTGTCAAGTTTGTGACCTTCGCTAGGTTGCTCTGATCATTAGTGTGGATAAGTATGTAAATGAATAAAGACAGAGAAGCAAATAACACAAAATGTACGTGGTTCACCCATATTGGCTACGACCACAGAGTATAGGAGTTCTCATTAGTTGTGAAGGGTTTACACAAATACATAGGTTCAAGCTCTCTTTTTGTGAGTTCTAGTGAATGGTTCAGTACAAATGACATTAGGGATTATTGTGGGAGAATGATCTCCTTTTATAGAAGAGAGTTTCTAGTTTTGTTGTGACATTGACACTTGTCGTGTTGTGATTGGCCTCTGATATCGACACGTGTTGCGCTGTGATTGACCTCTGATATCGACACGTGTCGCGTTGTGATTGGCCTCTTAGTTGGAGGAAAAGTCTTGTGGGTTCTTGACGGTATGTTGTTGACCGGTGCTTAGTAGTTTCGGGATTAGTCAAGTATGGTACAAACACCTTCCAAGTAGTCATTTGCAATTTGTCTCACATGTCTTTTGCAATGCTCATGTGATGCATTTCTAATCCCTTTAATCTATTTTCTTTGAGAAATTTGAAAAAAAAAAAAATCAAAATTTATACTTTATAGAATTAGCTACCTTTTTAAGTTTATAATAACTATTACCAAATGTTGATATACTTAATGCATCATTTTTTTTTTTGAACCATGAGAGTGTAGTCTGGTATTGTTTATCATATCACCAAAAAATGAATCCATAAAGAGTAATGTTAGGGAGATCAAAATTTTTAAACCAAATTGCAAACTAAATGATGTCAAACATGTTAATCGACATTTAATTAATAATCTAATCATCTATAACCACATTATTTAGTTTGCAAATTTAATTTAAAAATTTTGATAAGAAAGTTCCAATTCTTTACTTGGTTTTCACTCGACCAAGCTCTTGAAATTATTTACGTAGTATTCTGTTCAACTTTTTATTGGGTTGTGATTTTTCATTCCAAAACTAAAATAAAAAATCAATTACAAGTGATGAATTGTGCAGTCCTCAGCCAGTGTTCTAGAATTAAAGAGTAAATTGTAATAACGGTTCCTCAATTTTAATTAAATTAAAGCAATAGTTCATCAACTAAAAATTCATTACCATTGATCTCTCAACTCATTAAAACGTGTAGTTATGGTTCTTTTTGTCAACTTTGTCAAAATTTTGTCAAAATGAGTTATGTTGGAATGACCATTGCTACAATTGGATTAAAGTTGAGGATCATTGCTCCAATTGAGTTAAAGTTGAGGGACAATTTCTCCAATTGGATTAAATTGAGAGATCATTGTACAATTTTTCTTATTTGATTTTCCATATTTGCCCGTTGATTTAGCCTCACGTTATGGCACGTGACTCATTTTGAAAGAAATTCTAATAGAGTTGACGAAAAAAATTATAGTTGTACGTTTTAGTGAATTGTGGGATTAATGGTACGGAATTTTTAGTTGAATGTTCATTACTCTAATTGGGTTAAAATTAGAAATCATTGCTCTAATTGAGTTAAAGTTAAGAGATGATTCCTACAATTTACTTAGATTTAAAACCTTTCAACCTATTGCAATTTGCAAATTGAAATATTAAAGTTTTGTATAAAAAAAATCACTCTGTAGAACATAAAGGATTGAAAAATCGCTTTAACCACTACTACCACGGAAGAGAGACGATTTTCGAAAGAATAAGGTTGCAGGGTAGATTTAAGCCTGTCTCCTGCGACAAGCGAATTGCGGTGAAGGGACTTTCTCATGGCTTTTGCTTCTGCGACGTGCTTTTCTTCCCAACTGCAACTGCAACGGCTTCCTCGCGGCCTCGCCGCCAACAGTCCCTTATTCGTATTTCCTTCTCCTTCTTCTTCTAATTGTCGTCGTTTCAGACCTCTCAGTCCGACACTCAGAGCAAGCAGACCCTTTTCCGCCGTTGTATCGGCGGCGGCGGTGAAGAGTAATTCGCATTCGAATTCGAATTCCAGTGGAAACAAAACCAGTAAAGCAGCACCAGCGGAAGAAGAGGATGCAGAAGAAGCAGTGGAAGAAGTGGAAGAGGATCTACCGTGGATTCAGGAGAAGGCCTTGGACGTGGTAGAGTTCACGGGCTCCGTCACACAGGCGATTCCTGGACCCAGAGTGGGCACCAGCTCTCTCCCTTGGATTCTGGCTCTCCCTCTCGCCTATGCCGGTCTCACTTTCGTCATTGCCCTTGTCAAGACCGTCAAAAAGTTTTCTTCCCCTCGACATAAACGCAAGAAGCTGGTCAATTGTCTTCTTCTTCATCTTTTCCTTATTTTCCTGTCAACTAATTATTGGGGTTTATGAATGATTTTCTAATTGATTGATCTTCTCCTTATTTTCCTGTCAACTATTTATTGGGGTTTATGAATGATTTTCTAATTGATTGATTGATTGATTAATTGTCTTGTGACAAACAAAACAGGTGAATAAAAATGCTATGCTATGTAAATCAATAGACGAATTGTTTCAGAATGGTGCAGAAGTCAAACCCGATGTCTTGAACCAACTTGTGCAGAAGGTGACATTTCTACAACTGATACATATGCAATTCAGAGGCAGTGTCATAATTTGCCATATCGTGATTACACTTTTGTTAACTGCTGAACCAAGCAAGTGCATTTGTTGTCTTATTCTTCAAAATTATTTATTCGTTCAATTTGATTCATGGTTTTTCTGGAGGAGCACTTTCGAGTTTGGAGTTCAGCTGTATATCTCTTCTGACATTGATAAATTTTTTATCCACTGAATGAGTACTGTGTCCTTTTATAAATTTCATTTGTGGTACACTTTGCCATTTTGAGTTTGACAATACATTGCTAATTAATTTCCAGACTGGTTTTGGCATGGAGGAAATTTTGCGAAAGTACATTCGATATACTTTGAATGAAAAACCATTCAACCCAGATGTGGTTTCCAACTTAATCCAGCTCAGAAAAGCTTCCAAGTTCGATGACTCTCAAGTTGCTGAAATTCTGAATGAAATTTCAAGAAGAATTGTACGAGACAAAGGTAAGCTGGCTCATCAAACAACTGCTTTCATAACCCGTTTGGTCTAATTACATATCGTTGCCTTTTCGATGCGAACATATATAATCTGACGAGGACACATTGTGAAAGTAGATCACTTCCTCCTACCTATGAGATACCAAAGATGGATGCTTTTAGTGCGGTCCAATAACGCTCTTTCAACTAATACAACTCTATTGATGTTGTTGTTGTCCATCTTGTTAGCGTAGTACTGTTTCTTTCATCCATGTGTTTTCAAATTACATTAAATTAATTGGCTGTTTAACCTTTTAACAAAACCATACTATGAAAAGTCGGAAAATTTCCTTCCAAAACTTTGCTATCAGTTGCTGACAACGTGTTTTCGGTTTCCAGGCCCAGTTGTAATGGATGTTTCAGGCTACACTGAAAGAGGTTTCAAGAGAAAATTAGCTGTTCAAGCCCTGTTTGGAAAGGTTTTCTATCTGTCAGAGGTAAGGGACTGAACATTCAAAATGGTAACTTTGACATATTTTTTGTATGTTACAGTTTTTCTCACCCGCCTTTTCTCTTTTCTGTATTGTCACTAGAAATCTTACTCGTATAGAGTCACATGAAAGAAAGATTGTGGTATACTTCCAGTTATGGTTTCGTCCAGTCAGACATGGTGGAAAACTACCTTTTGATGAGAAAAAAAAATTATTGCAAATATTTGTTTACGTTTCCAAATAGGGCCTTACCAGTTTTCCTACCTTGGAGAAACTTTTGTATTCAAAGGATATTTATTCCCCACCTATTCCCCTTTTCATGTTTTGGTTGCTTGATCGGCATATTGTGATGAGAGGGCTGTCAAAAAAAAAAAATTTATGTCCTCAACTGCTCCTTGGAGTGCTTAAACATGTTTGTCAGAAGCGTGAGGGTTATGGCTGAAACATGTGACACCACTCCACTGGTTGAATTAAAACTATGAATTTTGTGCGCAGAAATGGGTCATTTCGGTATCATTGCCTCAAAGATTCTGAACTTTTGCTGAAGCATGATGTGAGTTAGTGTTTGTCCTGGAAATTTATACACTAAATTTGCTGCATCAGTATAACTCCAGATTTGTAGAAGAGCATAAAAGTTTTCTGGGAAATCTAGGCATTTTATGATGATACATCTTGGTTATTTTGGAAATTCTCCACCTTTAGTTTGGTAGGTTAGTTATTTTCATGGAAAATCAGGGTTTTTGGAGTATAGTATGTTAATAATCTTCATGGGAAATTTTTGCAGCTTCCAGAGTTCTGTTCGAGGGATAACTCCTTAATTGTCAAAGAAATATTTGGTGTTACAGAGTATGCCTCTATCCCTAATATTCAGCTCTTTGAATTCTTGTAAAAGAATGAGGGAAACCGAAATGTCCATGTGATTGTGATCCGAAAAAAACTTTTAAGATTTCTGTTTTCAGCGCTCATGACTAATGTTTTTCCTTCTTATATTCCCTTGTTCCCAGTGAAGATGCAGATAAATTACGGATACATACACTTTCTGAAGCAGGGGACATAGATTCGTTAGAAAAGATGGTTGATGGTTCAGATTCAGATGATTCTGGCCGGGGCTCTCCTTGATTCACATGCACCACATCCATTTTGTTTGGCACGGAAAAGTAAAGTTGTGAAGGAGGAGGGAGGGCGTGTTAGTACCTCAAAGGCGCGCCTTAAAGACGTATTCTCATTTGTTACATGATCATGTGGAAATTTTTTGGTTGCAGTACAGCATGAGTTCAAATTTTGTCAAAGTTTTGTTTAAACTTCACTTTTAAATATGACACTAATTGGATTTATTTACTGAGAAATTACTGATATATATATATGGAGATGGAGTAATATGAGGTGGCGATGTACAAGTTGCTTGGGCACACATCATCGACCTGCAGTCCAACTTCGTGGAGTTGACTGTAATCTCTACCGTCCATAATGCCTGTAATCTCTACCGTTCGAAGGTATTCGATCTGTGAAAGACCATAAAAAGGCCATGCAATACTGGTGAAGCCGAACGCTAAAGCTTCGACGGTGGATGTATCCCTTCCCAGCAATGCGTCAAACAAGTTTGAGGGTCCTTTGTGTTAAATAAACTTCCAATAATGGGTTGAATACCTTCGAACTTTCACTTTCTATTCTTTATGGTTACATTTCAAGTTTCGATTCATGGAGTAGCCTATTCATAATCGTCATCTTATTTTTACCCACCCACATTACTAGGCTAACTTAGTAACTTCTAATAAGGCGCAGCTACATTCAAATATTCGTAATTGAAAACTAATGAAAATGGCTTGAAGACTTTGAGTTTTAACGATAAGGACAAAACAAAGGGTAAAATGAATAATACCATATTTGACTTTTTAGTATAAAAATATGGTTTTTTGTTAAAATGAACAGTACCGCGAACTTTTCGTTAAAACTCCATTTTCCTAATTTGTACTTTGCCAATGCAGTTGTAATTTTGGTAATTAAATGCTTAATAGTTTCTTGACAAAAGAAAGAGGGTCTGCAGTTTACTCAAATTTGCACCTTCGGCTGTTTTTATTGTGTTATGGTACGCATTTTCATGTTGTACGTGTATCATCTGTATCTATAGAGAAAATTTGAGTAATTGTTCTTAAATTGTGGTCCAATTGGAGCTTTGATTTATTTTCAGTGTTTTCATCAAGGCATTAAGTCGAGCTTTTAGTGGGCATGTCATTATCTTTCTAGTTATAATAACTGTTGGAAATATTGGTGATTCAGATGTTACTTCTCTTACAACAAATCCTATAAAATTAATATTAAGATATCACAATTTTATTAAATAAAATAACCAAATAAGATAAAATACTTATCTTTTGTAGTTATAGAACGTTCTTCGTCAATCCTTGAGTAGACAAAATTTTAGGTTGAGACGTGTAGTCACTATCCTTAAGAGTAGATTTCGCTCATCTAAGACAATGTCTTGGTGTAGCAGATTATGACGCCTACTCTCCAAAATACAACCTATGATCGTTGTAAGTGTACACTCGCAATACTTGGATCGAGTGAACAACTCGATTCTTTCTTTTAACATATAAAAGGTGGAAATTATAATATCATTTGAGATAATATGAGAGATTAGGAGAGGAGAAGATGGTGGGACTGTTTTTAACTAGGTGGGGTTTGTCCGTTGAAGGAAAGAGATGATTACTCCACAAAAAAAAAATCACCTTTGCCTCAAAGAGAGGATGATATTATATATAGGACAAATAGGCTATACACGAAGGCCATTTAACAAGGTCTAGAACGTTCGACATTATAGCCACAACGATTATAAATTAGTTAATGCTTCAATTTTTAGTTTTACTAATAAAAAACTCAAATAAAGACCTTAAAACAAATTGAATAATATTAAAGTTACTAATGAAGAGTTGTATTTTGAAATACCTAATTAAAAATTTCAACAATCCCTCACATATTACAAAATACAAATTGAATCACCAAAAGGAATTTGAGAAACCCAAGTTTAAAGAGGACAAGGAAGTACCAAAGGAAAGTGAGAATCCAACGCATCATTACTGATATCTTTTGGACTATGAACCATCCTTAGGACGAGCTAGCCGTAACTCACAGAAATTTGGTGAAAATTAACCTTTCTATGAATCAATATTTCTTTGTGTGAATCATAGGACTAACCATCCACATTGAATCCTCGGAATCGAGCATATTCTAGCGGGTTGGCGCAAATAGGCCATGCGCCCACCTGGATATTCATGAGTGCTCTAGAGAACCTGTCTAAGCTCTCATAGGAAGCGGCCCCACTCCCACACTCAAATAGGTGAATCCATCATATGTGCACTGTAGTCAAGCACGCCACCTATATATAGGTTATGGTATTCATTAAGAACATAAGTTCAACCTCACAAGCTATAGTAGTTGCACTATCTACACCACAGGGATATGCTCTCAATAGAGTTATTGATATAAATTGATAATGCATGCCCAATCAACAAGTGACTTGTTCTTACCCATATGAACCTACTTCTTGGGATCTCCATTCACATTGGTTGGGTTACCATCACTCTTGATTGATGTTATAGGCATTCGTCTCATCCCCCTCGATGTAATAATCATTACTAACATTTAGCTTAATGGATTTGTAAGAGGATTAGCTAGATCCATTTATGACCTCAAACATATTATGTCAAATGCATATATGCAAAATAAATTTATATTTAGCTCAAACTCTTGTAGCTAGGCTATCGCCACACATACACAGATAAATTTATAGTCTCTTCCACAATTAGTGGGATACAACGGGTCGCGGCGAAATGCGGGGAGGGAATTAAGGGTTTGGGTGTGTAGGAGGGGAAGGGAATCTGGGTGTGGGTTTGGTTTTGTTTTTTTTTTTTTGGTATGTGATCTAGGTGTGGGCTTGGTTTTTTTTTTGTTTCTTCAATGAGGTGGTGAAGATGGAGGAAGAGAGGCAGCGGTGGGGTGGTGAAGGAAGGTTGGGTATGGAGGGACTAAGGGAGGGATGGGTCGGGTTGGGAGGTGGTGGTGAGGGAAGAACGAGTGTAAGTGGGGAGAAGGACGGAGGAGGGAGACCACATTGTAGAGAGATGAGAGAGAAAAGAGAGAGAGGGTGGTGGAGGAAGGTTGGGGGGACGGAGAATGGTTTGGTGGTTGTCGAAGAGAAGAAGAAAATGGGTTGGTGCGGGTGGAAGCAAGGGTAGGCCGGATCCCTTAGGCCATTTTTTATTTTATTTTTAGTTTTATAATTTATATATTTTTTTAAATTTTTAATATTTAATTATTTTTTAATCCAGTGGTATTAGTGAGTAGAGTTCGTTTCTAATCACGTCAACATTTAACAGAAAAACTAAGAAAAACATGACATTGACATAAATTCCTAAGCTGAAACATGATATTATTATTTAAAAAAAATAAGGTACGAAAATATCATCAGACCAATAATTAAGATAGTGTTTTATCATTTACCCAATATTTTTTAGATCGACGGGCAAACTCTCCCTCCTCCTGGATTGCAAGAGCAATGCACTGGAGCGCGCCTTCAGGTATGACAAGATCTCCCTCCTCCACACGTGGACCTTGTATTTGCAGTTGCAGAGTGGTAAGTCCAAACTCCCAAGCTCCTGGATTGGATTAAATTGGTGGGTTGTAGAAGAAATCTAGGTATTCTAGAGAGGAAATTGAGGAGGAATCGAAGACGACGATGATGATTCAGCTGCAATCCCAAGTTTCATCATCATTTTGGCCAATCAGCCCAATCCCGATTCAGGCTCCGAAAGGCCGGATGTCTGTCTTGAATGTGCGATCAGGAGGACGTCGAGGAGGAATACGATGTGAGGCGATGGCGGCGGGAACGGGAACGGGAATGGGGCCTTACACGGGGAGAGACCCAAATGTGAAGAAGGCGGAATGGCTAAGGCAGAAAGCCCCCCAGGGACACAAGTACGAGGAGGTCAAGGAGTCCTTGTCCCGTCTGAATCTCAAGACGGTGTGCGAGGAGGCCCAGTGCCCTAACATCGGCGAGTGTTGGAATGGAGGTGGCGATGGCATTTCCACTGCCACCATCATGCTCCTCGGCGACACCTGCACCCGCGGCTGTCGCTTCTGTGCCGTCAAGACCAGCCGGACCCCTCCACCTCCAGATCCCATGGAGCCTCTTCACACTGCCACCGCCGTTGCCAGCTGGGGCGTCGATTATATTGTTTTAACCAGTGTCGACCGCGATGACCTGCCCGACGGTGGAAGCGGACATTTTGCTCGCACCGTCCAAACCCTCAAGGTTAATTGGTTACTAACTAATCAGCTTGCTTGCTTCAATTTCTCTACTTTGATTGATTGAATGCATTATATCATGTCTGATGACCTAGCTTTTAACATAACATAAAGACTCTGAGACGAGCACAGAGCATTGCAAAATCGGCAACTTCTTTCTTACATAATAATAAATTAACAATAATCCTTTCTTACATTCATCAATACAATACAACAATACAATGTTTTACACACTCATTTCACTCTGCAGACTCTCAAGCCTGACATCATGGTTGAGTGTTTAACTTCGGACTTTCGCGGTGACTTGACGGCTGTACACACTCTGCTTTACTCTGGACTTGATGTTTTTGCACACAACATTGAGACCGTCAAACGCCTCCAGCGAATTGTCAGAGACCCTCGCGCTGGGTAAGCTAGCTGCACTCCAATCCAAAGTCTTTCGGTTATGTATTTCGTAAAGAAGTGCATAAGTGGTCCGACCCAGATGATTGCACCATATGACATGCATCAGTTTTTGTACAAACATATTTTTTAAATCATTTACATGCATACCATATTTCTCTCATAAAATCATGTTTGGAAATATGGCCTTGACACATATGTGCTATGCATGCTCCAAGTTTAACATAACATTCAACGATACAATACCCACCTAGGATTAAACTTTCATGTACTTCAGGTAACAGTATCATAACAAAAGGTAAGTCACACAAATGTGATAGCTAAAGAGGACCATAACAATACTTGTCCAGGCTTTGTATGTATTTGTCGTATACTAGGAACTGAAGTCAATGGGCTGAAGAAGTTTGTTTAATGTGGTAATGCAGGTATGAGCAAAGCTTATCTGTTCTAAGACATGCAAAACAAAGCAAGAAGGGGATGATAACAAAAACTTCTATAATGTTGGGCCTGGGAGAAACAGACGATGAGCTGAAGGAAGCCATGGCTGATTTAAAGGCTATAGATGTTGATATATTGACACTTGGACAATATTTACAGGTTGGTTAAAGATGCATAGCTTTCATGTATTTAGCTTTGATTACTTTCATGCAAGTACATTGGAACTTACAGACTGTAAGGCTGGTGTCGTTTTAGGCAATCATGAAATGAGACTAAGTCATATCCCAGTAGAATTTTTGACAGTCTAATTCTTGTTATATGCTTGAAGAATGGCTGTAATCTGGCCCATGGTAGTTTTTATTTTCTATAAGCAATCCTCTTTTACTGTTTATGAGGCAATCATGAAATGAGACTAAGTTATATCCCAGTAGAATTTTGTGATAGAGATTATGATTTTAAGTTATTTTAAGTTGCTTAAAATTGTTGCAGCCAACTCCATTACATTTGACTGTAAAAGAATATGTTGCCCCTGAGAAATTCGTTTTCTGGAAGGAATATGGGGAGTCTATTGGATTTCGTTATGTAGCCAGTGGGCCCTTGGTAAGATGTTCATTAACGTCAGTTTTATAGATGTTGTGGATTATCTTTCTTTGCTATTCTTGTTTGAATGTAGTTACCTAGTTTACCATTCTTGGTGAAAAAATCTTTGCATCTATTAATTTTTCAGGTCCGGTCCTCGTATAGGGCAGGGGAACTGTTTGTTAAAACAATGGTCAGGGAAATGGCTAACAGCTCTATTGGCGTACCTCAGTAACTTATGGACTTCAATACTGATGGCTACCAAAACGACAATAAGTTGGTGGCTGCATGAACAGCTAAAAATGGGGAAAAGTTATGATTGCAATGAGCGGATGGCCATACATTTTTAGAGGGTCTGAATTTCCTAGGTCTGCTATATATATACAAATTTTGGTTCAATTGAGAATGTTGATGTGCCACAATCATTTGTTTGTTAAACGTAGTGGGAGATAAGAACACATGTTGGAGTCGGAATCAGGATTTTCGCATATTTCTGTTAACATTTCAATTCAAATTAGGAGAGGAAAGAGAGTTACTTTGATTGTAATTTCAATTGGATGGGCGGCATGGTAGCTGCTGTGGTGAACATTTGCTTGCATTTGCAGTTGCTTTTTGCTTAGTATTCAGTTGAGATTTTGAGGTATTTTAATTCTTTTAATGGATCTTGGGGTATTCAATTAGAAATTTAAGAGCTTGTTTGGTATTCTACTTGAGTTCAACTTTTTTAACTGAAAAACACTTTTTGAGTTTTAGGTGTTTAATTCTTGTTCGGTATGACTCTTTTTAAAAATTGGATTCAAAACTAACATAAAAACATAGACTATTTCCTAAAAACACTAAAAGTGAGTTTTTAGAGTTTTTTCTGCTTTCTACTCAACATTTTTTTTTGCTCTCCCCTAACCCTTTTTTATAGGAGATTTAATAAAATATTCCCGATACTGTTTATTTAAAAAAAAAAAAATTACGTTTATACTTTTTCCTGTACTATTTACTGTACTTTTAAAAAGGGTCATTACATGAAAAGTATTTTTGAACTTTTTTAGTTTCCTGTATTTTTCCTCTCCCTACCCTCTGTTTCCTCTCTCTCCCCACGTCACATCCAGTCTTCTCTCTCTTCTCAACCTTTGTCTCATCACCCTTTTTTTCTTCTCACTTCGGTGCATTTTTCATCCCCTTTTATTTTATGCGGTTACGATTAAATCACGTCAACATTTTATATTGATTTTTTTATATAGATAATAAGATAAAAAATAATAAGAATATAAAATATTGATGTGATTTAACTGTGATCACGTAAATAAAAAATGATAAGAAATACATCCAAATAGGAGGGCATACAATCTGCCTTCCCTCCCTCACCTCTTCACTCTCTCCTTGTCCTTCTCTCTCCTCGCCAACCATTTCCTCTCTCATTTTTCCCAATTCTCTCTCTCCTCCAGTATTTGCTCAAGTAGTTTGAATTCAAACTAAAAAAATTTATTTTTAAAAACTCAACCAAACAGATTTTTGAAATTTTGAGATTTAAAAAAAAACTGTTTTTAAGTGATGTTATTTAAAAATTATTTTTGGGAACAATCAAAGTTTTTTTGCTAGGATACCAAACGGACCCTAAGTGATTATCTGAAATTCAATGTGTATTCAATCAGGATTTTAAGATAGTTTATTAAAATTCTTATAAATTTAGGTGTATTCAATTAAGATTTTAAATAAGTTTATAACATTCTAAGTGTCACATCCCGGCCCGGGGCGGATCACTTCCCGGCCCCGCTCCACTACCGTAGCACGATATTGTCCGCTTTGGGCTTACCATTCCCTCACGGTTTTGTTTTTGGGAACTCACGAGCAACTTCCCAGTAGGTCACCCATCATGGTTTTGCTCTAGCCAATTCCGGAGGCAACTCCAATCTGTAAGCTACCTCACCAACACGCTCTGTGACCACGTATGGTCCGATATACCTGGGACTCAACTTTCCTTTCTTTCCAAACCGCACAACACCTCTCCACGGTGAAAGCTTCAGGAATACCCAATCTCCAACCTTGTATACTCTGTCTGTAGCATGCCGATCTGCTAAACTCTTTTGCCTGTCCTGGGCTGCTTTCAGGTTAGACTTAATCACCTGAACATTCTGCATAGTCTCCTCAACAATCTCCGGACCCACTAGAACTCTCTCGCCAATCTCCGACCAACACAATGGTGTGCGACAAGACCTACCATACAACGCTTCGAATGGCGTCACGCCAATACTCGAATGGAAACTGTTGTTATAGGCAAATTCCATCAGGTCTAACCGTTGGTGCCAAGCATCACTGAACTGTAGCACCGAAGCTCGTAACATATCCTCCAAGGTCTGAATAGTCCTCTCTGACTGTCCGTCTGTCTGCGGATGATATGCTGTACTGTAAAGTAGTCTCGTGCCCAAAGCTTCCTGAAAAGCTACCCAAAACTTCGATGTAAATCGTGGATCACGATCCGAAACAATACTCACAGGGACACCATGGTACTTCACCACCTTCGAGATAAATAACTCCGCTAGACGGCTCAAAGAATACTTCTCTCTCACTGGAATAAAATGTGCCGACTTAGTGAGCCGATCCACGATTACCCAAATGCCATCAAAACCATTATGTGTACGCGGGAGCTTGTACACAAAATCCATGGTAATGTTTTCCCATTTCCACTCTGGAACGGGAAGCGGCTGTAACAGCCCAAACGGCTTTTTCCTTTCCGCTTTAACCTGCTGACAAACAGCACATCTGCTCACATATTCAGCTATCTCCCTCTTCATACCCGGCCAATAATAAAATGGTCGAATTGTATGGTACATTTTAGTAGCTCCTGGATGCATGGCGTAAGCCGAAATATGTGCTTCATCGAGAATTTCCTTCTTTAAATCTTCATTATTAGGCACGAACAACCTGCCCTCTTGCATCAACATGCCATCAGATTCACGAACTCGGAGGTCTCGCCTCCTTCCTTGCTCTTGGGCTTGAATTAATTCTTGAGTGTTATGGTCAGCTACCTGAGCTTCAAGCACCCGATCAACAAGTATCGGCCTAACTTGGAAATTAGCAAGTAAAGCCATATCTCGGTCTTCCGCTTCTAACTTCACACCTGTAGCACGCAAGTCCGCCAAAAGAGGAATACGACTAGCGTACAATGCATTAATGCGGCCCTGAGACTTCCTGCTAAGTGCATCAGCCACTACGTTCGCACGACCCGGGTGATAATCAATCGTGCAATCGTAATCGCTGAGCAACTCCAACCACCTCCGTTGACGAAGATTAATTTCCCTCTGAGTAAAAAGATATTGAAGACTCTTGTGATCTGTAAAGATCCTACACTTTTCCCCATAAAGATAGTGTCTCCACAATTTCAATGCAAAAATGATAGCAGCCAACTCCAAATCATGTGTAGGGTAATTCAACTCGTGGGGTTTCAACTGCCGCGAAGCATAAGCAATTACCCTACCATGTTGCATCAATACACATCCCAGACCATTCAAGGAAGCATCACTATATACTTCGAAATCACCACTATCGTCCGGGAGTGCCAAAACTGGTGCATGAGTGAGACAATGTTTTAACTGCTGGAAACTCTGCTCACACCTATCATCCCACTCAAATTTAACATCCTTTCTCGTTAATCTCGTCAGTGGCAGGGCAATCACCGAAAAATCTTTAACGAATCTCCGATAATAACCCGCCAAACCAAGGAAACTTCTCACTTCAGTGACGGTTCGCGGTTGTTCCCAACTATCCACAGCTGCGATTTTCTGAGGGTCCACCAAAATACCCTGAGCCGAAATGATGTGCCCCAAAAACGCAACTTGGTCTAGCCAAAACTGGCACTTACTAAACTTGGCATACAATTGGTGTTCCCTCAACCTCTTCAACACCAAAGTAAGATGTCGAACATGCTCTGCTTTCGACTTAGAATACACTAGAATATCATCAATGAATACAATAACAAATCTATCCAAGTATGGCTGGAATACCCGGTTCATTAAATCCATAAAAGCAGCTGGTGCATTCGTCAACCCAAATGGCATAACCAGAAACTCGTAATGACCGTAACGAGTCCTGAATGCCGTCTTAGGAACATCATCTCTGCCAATCTTCAACTGATAATAACCAGATCTCAGGTCAATCTTGGAGAAGACACAAGCACCACGAAGCTGGTCAAACAAATCATCAATACGTGGCAACGGATAACGGTTTTTGATCGTCACCCGATTCAATTGCCTGTAATCAATACACAACCTCAAAGTTCCATCTTTCTTCCTCACAAACAATACTGGAGCGCCCCAAGGTGAAGTACTAGGCTGAATGAATTCCTTATCCACCAATTCTTGCAACTGAACTTTCAATTCCCGTAACTCAGCGGGAGCCATACGATAAGGAGTCAAAGAAATAGGATTTGTACCTGGAAGCAACTCAATAGTGAACTCCACGTCTCGATCTGGGGGTAACCCAGGTAAATCCTCGGGAAAAACATCAGGAAAGTGTCTGACCACTCTCACATCCTCAACTCTATCAGGAACGGCCTCATTCAACACCACATGTGCCAAGTACCCTTGGCAACCTTTAGATAGCAACTTTTTCGCTCGCAAAGCCGAAATAACGCCATGTCTCACCCCACTCTGCTCACCCACAAAAGTAACCACAGGTAGTCCAGGACGGTGAAACGTAACTACTTTCCCGTAACAATCAATATTGGCACGATAGAAATGTAACCAATCTGTGCCCAAAATCACATCAAAATCAACAATATCTAACGGGATAAGATCAGCTGGCAAAACTACACCCTCAACAATCACTGGACATCCTGGGTACACACAATCTACGACATATCTCTCTCCTCTAGGCATAGCGAACTCTAAATCGTATCCTAGAGGTGTGGGGCGGGGTTGTGTCACTTGAGCAAATGTATGAGAAATTACGGAGTGTGTAGCTCCACAATCAATTAAGACTCTAGCAAAACAACTAAGAATATTTAACGTACCCATAATCAAGTCCGGGTTGTTCTGAGCATCCTGCAAGGAAATATTGTGAAGACGTCCCTGACCTTGTTGTCGTCCACCGCGACCTCGGCTCGCCTGAACACCGCGACCCTGGGCACCACGCCCCTGACTGGGTTGTCCCGATTGTCTCGAAGACCCAGCACTGCTGGTAGCAAACTCACCCTGCTGATACTGTCCTCCCTGATACCACTGTGAACCGCCTACCGGCGCTGGAGGATACGACATATAGCTGCCAGGATACGGGGGATAACCACCCTGGGAATAGGGGTCCTGAGGATACTGATATTGCCCCGGAGCATATGGGACAACATCACCCTGATAGTGGTAGGCACCACCTCTACCTGCTTGACCATAACTACTTGGACCCTGAATTTGACGGATCGGTGCAGGTGGTGGCATAAAAGTCTGCTGTGGTTTCTGCTGCTGATTATGGGGACAATTCACAGCTCTATGTCCCGTCTGCCCACACGTAAAGCAGCCACCGCTGCCACGCCTGCACTCGCCGAAATGCCGGTTGTTACACCTACGGCAAACGGGGGCTCTGTTTCGACCACCATCGCCCTGTCTCTGACCTCGAGGGCCTCCAGCAAACCGACCTCCTCTTCCCTGTCCAGCTGCACTAAAACCACCGCTAGAAGAACTCGAACTAGCTCCACCCCTCTTGAAGTTCTGAGTCTGGCGGGGCCCGAGCGATACTTGACCTTTACCCTTATCATTCTTTTTCTGACTACTGTCTTTTTCTTCATCACTATCGCTCGACATATTCTCAGAATCTTCTATCCTCAACAACACCTCATAGAAGTCCTGGTAGGTCTCGCTGTGGACAGCAGTCGCCATAGAACGCCACTTCTTCTTAGTACCTTGGCGGAAGAGACGGAGCATCTCCGCCGAATTACCAGCGACATCAGGATGATAACGAGACAAATCCGTAAACTTGCGGTAATACTCATTCGCCGACATCTTCCGCTGCTTCAGTTCAGTAAACTCCTGTTTCTTCCTATCGATGTACTCAGGGGGCACATACCTTCTCTTGAACAAATCCGTAAAAACATTCCAATCCGTCCTCTGTTCTGGAGTCAACCTACGGAGCGCCTGCTCCCACCAAGCTGCAGACTCCGTATCCAGAAACCATGTGGTCGTCTCGACCCATCTCTCCATAGGAAGATTCCCCTGGTTATGCAATACACGGAAGGTCTTCTCTACGTGTTCTAGCCAGCGCTCTGCGCCCTCATGCCCTTCATTACCTTTAAATTTATCCAACTTCAGATTGTACATAGTCTCCAGAGGAGTCCTCTGGGGAGGGCGCAATACTGACTGAAGGGCTGTAGCAAAAACTTCTCCCAACTGAGCAACATCGGGGAAATTAGGCTCAGAAGAACGACGTGGTTCCCGACGAGGCGGCATAATTCTGACAGAAGACACCAAGACCATTAGAATACTCACAAAGACACAGGACTGCCAAACCTAGGCTCTGATACCAAACTGACACACCCCAACCGAGATCAGGGCGTGCTGGCCGTCACACGAAGGTGACGTAGCCATATGCACGTGCGGAAGCTAATAATATAATAATAAAAATTTAATAATACTAGCATACAAAGTTCTAAAACAAGAGCTAGCGTAAATAAACTACATGTTCAGAGCAAGACTACAGCAGTCCAAACAAGAAGATGCGACGGCGACTGGCCGGAGAAGGAAGGGGAATATTCCGTTAAACTTAACGGAATATTCCTAACGGCAGTGACGGCGTCAGTTAGGGAATATTCCGTCAGGTTAACGGAATATTCCTGACGGCGTCAGTTGACGCCGTCAGTGTGCAGTGCACGTGGCTGCGCGTGGGGGCGCGTGGGTCCGTGCCTAGGACGGCGCGTGGGGGCGCGTGCGTGGTCCAAAAATTATTTTAAAAATATGGGTGTGATCCTGAGGTTGTGTAGAGCACGTTGGTATATTCATTTGTCCAAATTGAGCAATGTATGAGAAGTTATTACGAGAAATTGGCTATGTGCTTTAGAATTAATTTTTTTATAGTTGTTTCGCGTATAGGTGACACGTATCCTGAGGACGAGCGTGCACACGCGAGGCAAGGGGGCTACGACCCTTCCACGTATCAGTGAGTGGGCTTTTGGTTTTCCGTATATACCTATATACTATATTTTCCCAGAATTTTATTAAATGTTAATTGTTTTATGCCATGTGTTATATTATCGTTATTTGTGCATCGATGATCATATTAGTTGCATATACATATACATATGCATATTCGGTGCTGTTGACGCACAGGTAAGTGCCAGGTAAGAGTTATGCGTATTTATGTTTCAGTAATGGGTTGAGATACGTTTGAGATACAAATGGGAATACGAACGAGCTATGATTGAGGTATAATCGTGATATGATTGAGATGTTTAGAGAGCTCATAACCTGCACCCCCGGTGTTAGTGCTCCCGCCCTGAGCAGGGCCCAGGCCTTCACGTGATGTTCACCTCCCCGCACCTTATGCTCAGCTTGGATCCAAGCTAGGTGCCCAGGCCTGTCGTACAGACCACTATAGGTGGTTCCGACTCGTAGGTGACCCGCGATTATTCGCCCAGGCTTCACGTGATCGTAGCACTTATTTACACCCCAGCCCTGTCGTACAGACCACTATAGGTGGTTCCGACTCGTGGTCAGGTTCAGATATTGAGATTGAGATTAGAGCTCTATATGCAGCCGTACAGGTCACGTTAGGTGACTCCGGCTGCCAGATTACACGATGTTGATACGATTATACCTGCGCACTTGCATATTATTACGAGATTTCGGCATGGCATATTATTGAGCACGTCTGATATATTATCGAGAATGTTGGGCATATTGAGCATGATTGTCATATATATTATACATACATGTATCTTTCTGGGAAGTATACAGGTTTTACGGCGAGGGGTTAGAAAGTATTTTATAAATGGTTTGAAAGATTTGTTTTTGCCCACTCACGCTTTTGTTTTGCGCCCCTCCAGGTTCTAGTTGAGTAGCAGTTCCGGTGGTTTCCCAGAAGGCATCTCCGGCATCTCTGACAGACACCTATCATTGTAGGGTCACCTTCGGGTGCACTACCGTCGCATCTTCTTGTTTGGACTGCTGTAGTCTTGCTCTGAACATGTAGTTTATTTACGCTAGCTCTTGTTTTAGAACTTTGTATGCTAGTATTATTAAATTTTTATTATTATATTATTAGCTTCCGCACGTGCATATGGCTACGTCACCTTCGTGTGACGGCCAGCACGCCCTGATCTCGGTTGGGGTGTGTCACTAAGTGTATTCAATTAGAATTTGATTTTAAAGAATTTGAAAAAGTTTAGGAATTAAGGGGGTGTATTCAATTGAGAATTTGAGAGATTTTAATGAATTTATAAGTCCATGGATTTTTATGGAGTCTAACTGATTTGTAAAGATTTCATGTAAAATTTTGATTCAATTCTCTCGAAATCGCATTGGGAGATGTGAGATTTGTGAATGCTTAAAATACACTACAAAATATCTTCAATTTCTTCTAATTCCTCAACTTCTCCAAATTCTTTAAATTCAAATTATAATTGAATATATATGGAACGTTATAAATTTCTTTAAAATTCTAATTGAATACAACCGATTTCTAAGGATTTTAATAAATTATCTTAAGGAGAGTGTATTCAATTGGAATTCTGAAGAATTTTAATTCTTTTAATGAATATATGGGTATTCAATCAGAAATTTAAGTGATTATCTGAAATTCAATGTGTATTCAATCAGGAATTTAAGTGATTATCTGAAATTCAATGTGTATTCAATCAGGATTTTAAGATAGTTTATTAAAATCGTTAGAAATTCGAGTGTATTCAATTAAGATTTTAAAGAATTTTATAACAATCCACGTATATTCAAATAGAATTTGATTTTAAAGAATTTGACAAAGTTGAGGAATTTGAGAGATTTTGTATTGAATTTTAAGTATCCATAAATCTCACATTTTCGCAAGAGATTTTGAGGGAATTGAATCAAAATTTTACATGGAATCTCTACAAATCAATTAGACTCCATAAAAATCTATGGATTTATAAATCCTTTAAAATATCTCAAATTCTCAGTTGAATACACCCCCTTAAAATCCTGATTGAATACACATTGAATTTTAGTGAATCACTTAAAATTTTGATTGGATACCTCTTGATTCATTAAAAGAATAAAAATTCCTCAAAATCTCAATTGAATACACTCCTAAAGGGAACTGGAGAGATTTCGTAGTGTATTTTAAGCATTCACAAATCTCAACTCTTCCCAAGAGATTTCAAGAGAATTGAATCAAAATTTTACATGGAATCTCTACAAATCAATTAAACTCCATAAAAATTCATGAATTTATAAATCTACTAAAATTTCTCAAATTCCCAATTTAATACACCCTAAAAATGGATAATACTGAATGAATGAGAGGTTTTTGGGCCAAGAGTAATCTTATGTTTACAATCTCTCTAATATGTGTGACTCACCAAAACATATAGGTCTCATCTCTAATAAAAAGATGATACAAATAGAGGGTAAGAATAATGTTTTATTAGGCCAATGCTCTCCTTGTTATTTTCTCAAAAACGTTCAATTGAGTCTCTTATTTTCTTCGGATGAGTTTGTATTTATGGAATAAGATTATTTCCTCTCCTAATCCCCTCATCTCTTCTCTCACTTTCATTTTTGTCTTTCTTTCTCTATGAAAAAGTTGAGGTTTTTCAGTCAAAATGGTCCCTCAGATTCGCATAATTCTTTACTTTGTTTCCTGAGATTTGAAATCAATATAAGTGGTTTCTGAAGTTGTCTACCATGGTCATTCGTGAATAGTTATGTTAAATAAAGATTAAAATGATAAAACTATTCTCAAGTGTAATAAACAATAGGCCAAAATGATTTAACAAAAATTGAGAATATTTTTGTCATTTTATTCTTATTTAATGGAAATTTTTCATGAAATGATCAAAATGATTGATGTGAACATTCGATTTCAAATCTCATGACCAAAATAAAGAGTTATGCAAATTTCAGAGACTATTTTGGATAAAAAGCTAAGAAATAAAAAATATTAACGTTGTTTAATCGTGACTATTCAAAAAGAAAGAGAGAAAAAATAAGAGGAATTACCATTCAAAAATGAGAAGAGAAAAAATGAAAGGAATTAGAAGGGGAGAAAATTGTACTCCTATCCTATGTAAAGAGAGAACAGTTGGCGAGGGTAGTCGGTTCACAAATTACCACCAGCGTCCGGTCCAGTGGGGTCCACCGGTTTCAAAGTTGCCCACCGTTTACATTACTCTTACAGGTCCGGTCCAGTGGGGTCCACCGGTTTCAAAGTTGCCCACCGTTTACAATACTCTTACACGTCCGGTCTAGTCACTGGTGCCTAAGCCCACAGTTTACTTTACTCTTTCACCAAAAGACACACAGTCTCCGCAACTGCTCACTCGGATTTGTGATTGCCTCCTCCTCTCCTCTCCTTTGCTGTTCCCTCCTCCTCCGTACTACTACTGCTACTGTCACACCAGCTGTCCCCGCCGCCACGAGCAAGGCTTAGTAATTAAGTTGGTAACCTTGCTACTTCTTCTTTGTTTTTTTTTATTTTTTTATTTTTACTAATTTGAAGGTAGAAATCCGAGATAGAAGGGCTTCCCTTGTTTTGTTTTGTTTTGTTTGTGTGCTGCTAATTGCTAATCAATCTCAGCTCAGAATCGACTTGAAATCGAATCGGAAGATAAAATCATCATCATCATCATCATTGTCATCGATCCAAGATCTATCTATCTTATCTAGCCGAGAAAAGAAGAGAAGAAAGTCAATCAAATTCATATTTCAAAGCATGGCCAACATAGACATAGAAGGAATACTCAAGGAGCTCCCCAACGACGGCCGCATCCCCAAGACCAAGATCGTTTGCACCCTGGGCCCTTCTTCCCGCTCCGTCCCAATGGTCGAGAAGCTTCTAAGGGCTGGCATGAACGTAGCCCGCTTCAACTTCTCTCACGGCACCCACGACTACCACCAGGAGACCCTCGACAATCTCCGCACTGCCATGCACAACACTCAGATCCTCTGCGCCGTCATGCTCGATACAAAGGTCCCTATCTATCTCTCTATTTCCTAATTAATTTCTCGATTTCACTTTCCTATACATACATACTTCTGCAGCTACATATGTATACCCTCACTTGTGTAATTTTCATCCTACTCTTGTTTTTTGTTTTCCTGCTTTGCTTTCTGGCGAACTACTGGAATGAATGAAGAAATAAATAAATAAATAGCATTGTTTAATTGTCTCTCTGTGTTATTCACCATTAGTCTTCATTATCCGCTTCTTAGTTATCATCCAATTCGACTCCTGTGTTTGTCCTATTATTATCCATATATGATACCTTTTTCCTACTCTACTCTACTCTACTCCAATGGAATGGATACATGAATATGAATATTTATCACCTGGGCCTCTATGCCCCACACATGGTTTTAAGGGTTGTATATCTTCCAGTTCCTTACTCTAGAATTTAGCTTCCGAGCCTCTACCAATATCGTTTGGCTGATTCATGTGGTTCACTATTCACATCCTCTTGAGATAAGTGGTCTATGTCAGTAAACGTTGAAAGTTGTTTTATTTCTGTCCCATGTTCCTGAGAGAAACAACACTGGGTAGGCTTGGTCACTATTACAACAGAAAGAATTGCTACAAGATTAAGTTCGCGCCTCTACTAAAATATATATAACTGTTAGAAAGCAAACTACTGCATTATGGTATCGGAGCATTAGATCCCATGTTCAATTTCTTGCAATCACAACCCTCTCAATCTTAAGTTGAATCCACATGCTGGTTCTACCGGTGGAAAGAGCCTACATATGACAGCAAGTGTTAGAATATAAAAAAATTGTTAATCCACATTCTAACAAACTCTAACAACAATTAAAGATGGTCTGGTCTACAATAATGTTACACTTTCCACATTTTGAAACTGAACACTTGTTACTTCCACTTTTCGTAGGGACCTGAGATTCGGACTGGATTCCTCAAGGGTGGAAAACCCATACAACTTAAGGAAGGGCAGGAAATTACTATTACTACTGATTACAGCATCAAGGGGGATGAAGAGATGATTTCCATGAGCTACAAGAAGCTGGCTGTGGATTTGAAGCCGAGAAATACCATTTTATGTGCAGACGGCACCATTACTCTCACTGTATTATCTTGTAATCCAGCAGCTGGTACAGTTAGGTGCTGCTGTGAGAACACTGCAATGCTGGGTGAAAGAAAAAATGTCAATCTTCCTGGTATTGTGGTGGATCTTCCCACACTGACGGAGAAGGATAAGGAAGATATTCTGGAATGGGGCGTGCCCAACAAGATTGATATGATTGCTCTTTCATTTGTACGCAAGGGATCAGATCTTGTTAATGTCCGTAAAGTTCTTGGACCTCATGCCAAGAACATACAATTGATGTCAAAGGTATGACCAGTAACCTCGCTTTTAATGTTCGATTGTCCCAGCATTGAAGTCGGAAGATGATCCGTAGCTTTACTTTTTGGGTTTGTATGTCTGAATGTTTTTTTCATTAATTAACCAGTTAAGTTTGCTGTGGTTTCTATAGGTTGAGAACCAGGAGGGAGTTATCAACTTTGATGAGATATTGCGAGAGACAGATTCATTCATGGTTGCCCGTGGTGATCTTGGAATGGAAATCCCAGTTGAGAAAATTTTTCTGGCACAAAAGATGATGATATATAAGTGTAATCTTGTGGGCAAGCCCGTGGTCACTGCCACTCAGATGCTTGAATCCATGATCAAGTCTCCACGGCCAACCCGTGCTGAAGCCACCGATGTAGCTAATGCTGTCCTTGATGGCACTGATTGTGTCATGCTTAGTGGTGAGAGTGCAGCTGGGTCCTATCCAGAACTCGCCGTGAAAATCATGGCTCGTATATGTATTGAGGCTGAATCTTCCCTTGATTACAGGGCAATCTTTAAGGAGATGATAAAGTCGACGCCCCTTCCAATGAGCCCTTTGGAGAGTCTTGCATCCTCTGCTGTCAGAACAGCCAATAAGGCCAGAGCCAAACTCATTGTTGTGTTGACACGAGGTGGGAGCACAGCCAAATTGGTGGCGAAGTACCGGCCAGCTGTTCCTATCCTGTCAGTGGTGGTTCCAGTTCTGACCACAGACTCCTTTGATTGGACCTGCAGTGATGAGAGTCCGGCAAGACATAGCCTGATCTACAGGGGGTTGATTCCTCTATTGGCTGAAGGGTCTGCCAAAGCTACCGATGCAGAATCCACAGAGGTGATCCTGGAAGCTGCTCTGAAGTCAGCAACAGAGAGGGGATTGTGCACGCCTGGGGATGCTGTGGTGGCACTTCATCGCATTGGAGTCGCCTCTGTTATTAAGATCTGTGTGGTAAAATAAAACTGAGGTTTGCAGAGTACCAACATTTGCACGGTAAAGCAATGTAGCTGAGATGGACTAAATGGGTTTTGGTTTCTAGCCCCTTATTATGTTTTAGCGATCACAGCAGTGAAAAGTGTAGTAGTTACCTTTCTTTTCTGAAGCTATGTGAGAGGGCATGGTACCTCTAGATTTTTATTGCTTTATGCTGCACAAGCTATGAGCTATTATGGGAGTATGCTTGATTTTGCCCGGGTGTAGAAATAAGGCTCAGGGGACTATTACCGCTATGTTTGGACGAGAGACTTTTAAAATACCAAAGAAGTTCAGTCTCAAACCAGTTTTGAAAACTGGACTACGAGAACACTAAAAAACATAAAATGGGATTTGGAATGACACATTTCCAGGAGTCATTTCAAAGTTTACCCCAATGGTGCATTCCTAACAAATTTACCCCAAGTTCCATGGAACATTTAAAGTCCCTCGCCCAAGTGCGCTGCTGTAGTTTTTCTGGTTGTGGTTGGTCTTGATCATGTTAGGGGTTGGGCCTGTTGGCACATTCTCTGCTGAATAGTATGTGGTTGAACACCAGAAACTATATCATAAAAGGCCTACAGAGAGGCAAACAAACATACATAAACCAGGCATGACAATGGTAAACCACAAAGACCCCTAGTAGAGGTGTGGTTAAATGATAACAGGTAGTCCGCATTTCAAAAAAGACAAGATGCGACCCACGACATCATCATCTCGTAAAACCACCCGATGCAATCTGTGAGCCCGCCATTAGCAAACGGGCACCCAGACATCGGCAATCAAAGTTACCCCCCAGCTGTTTAAACCCGAGCCCACACTAGAATGCTCCCACTACCCCTAACACGAACTAGATAAACAATTATCGCTTCAAGGGAGTACCGACCAGAATTACATACCTACTCTACGCCAACTCGGCACCAGCTGGCACCGTACAGCAACGCAAAAGCCTCCGCTGCAGCAGCAGAAGGAGCAGATATAGCATGCCGGCTGCAGCCACAAATTCTCTCTCCTCATGTCCCGCGCAATCAATCCAACAAATCCCATCTTTGAGGCCTTGACCACTAGCATCCACAAATCTCACAAAGGAGAGGCCAGGAGCACACACCACCCGCCACCTGGGTACCGCTCCTCCCGTCACCCCCTTCCCTAACCCCAGCCTTGGCCTTAGCACCAAAAAACGAGCTCATAGCCGCAGAAACATCAGCCAAGACTTTTAAAGGGTTAACAGACATCCCTTTGAAAACAAAATCACAACGAGCTTTCCAAATACACCAACAGGTAAAAACAATATAAGATTGTCTCCACTTTGTATCTCCAAAGTTGCATAAAGTCGGAGAGAATACCTTCTGAATCCAGTCCAGCCAAGACGGGAGAGAAAGACGATCCAATTTATACCCCAAAGCCCCACCAAACCAAATTGGCTCAACCCAAGAGCAAGAAAGGAAAATGTGCTCAATGGTTTCATCATGGCAGCAGCAAATAGGACAAGTAGAGTTCAGAGAAGACCGTCGTCGGTACAGAGCTTCCCGAGTAGGAAGACAATTATGCACCGTAAGCCACAAGAAATGTCGCAACTTGGGGGGCACCTCCAGCTTCCAAATCCCCTTCCAAAACGCCTTGGGAACCCCACGAACAGAAGGCCGACGCTTGTCCCTCCTAGCCAGTGATTTACCTTGCAGCCATCTATAACCCGACTTGACCGAATAAGTACCGTTCTTACTCAAATCCCAGATAAGCCTATCATTACGACTTAGATCCCCCAAAGGCGTCTCCTCAATAGCCTGCAAAACCTCCCCCGATATGAAAGGCTGTAAAAAGCTAAGATTCCACCTCCCCGACTCCGGACATATAAGCGCACTGACCCTTAAACTGGGAGTAACCGCAACCTGGCCAACCGGCACCGGATGTCCCAGGGGCAGGGATGGAAGCCACCTATCCTGCCACACCCGCACCTCCTGACCGCCCAAAATCTGCCAATGGGAACCCTCCTTGATCACGTCCCTGCCACAGATGAGGCTGCTCCATGCCCAAGAAGCCCGACCACCTTTCTTCGCATCCCATATCGAGCAATGGGGAAAATACCGGGCTTTCATCACCCTAGCCCACAGCGAGTCCGGTTCCGTGATTAAGCGCCAACATTGTTTAGCAAGCAGAGCATCATTAAATTCCATAAAGTTTCTGAAGCCCAAACCACCCAAGTCTTTTGGCAAACCCAAAACCTCCTTAGAGACCCAATGAATCTTTTGGGCTCCCTCCTTGCAACCCCACCAAAATCCAGCCACCAACGCATCCAATTCCTGACAAACGACGGCGGGGAAGGAGGTTGGACCTTGCATTTTTTTATTTTTTTTTGGAAGGAGGTTGGACCTTGCATATTAAGCTAGAGAGATTCTCTTTAAAGCCGAAGACAAAGCCTAAGACAATGGTGATGATGTGCAAATAAATAAATTAATACAATCGATTGAAAAGTAGATTCCCTCTAAAGCCAAAGCTAGCTACCCCTAGTGCGCAGTGCGGTCGTAAAGCTCAAAACAGCAGTAGGCCCACTTCCCACGCACCAAGCATTCATGCAAAGAGACAAAAAACAACCTACCTGCCCTGCGCCTCTTCTCTGTTGCTCTCACCCTCTTCTCGCACTCACCACAATCCAAGTGCCGTATTCAAGAACCTTTAGCATGCAAATGCATCGCCAACAAGAATCGATGAGTCCGGAGCCATTGTAGCGAAGGCAGATAGGCTCATAGCCAGGAGAGCCATTGTGACCAGACCACAATATAGAACAACTTACACGTGTAAGGTTTATTGTTACATCATTACATCAGAAAGCTACAATGACCATAAACCATTTATTGATCACACGACGAGTGAGAAGGAAGGCGACATAAGATTGGAGCTCAGATAGCCAAGGGTGGTGTCAATTGCTAATTTCGAGGAATACAGCTAGCTAAGAGAAGGCCCTTGTCAGTTGGTCAGGAATCGGGACTCAACGCATCGCGCATCGCATGAAAAACATGTGAGTGTCAGAGTGTAATTCCATTTCATTTGTGTCTATCTATTCAATCTACGTTCACTTTCAGCAGGCCACTTTCCTCTTCTCGTTGTTAAAAGTTATACATTGTACGGTGATCCTAATAATCCTTTCTTCCCAAAGATTTTTAATTTATTATTCCATTTTTCCAAATATTAATTGAATATTTGAAGATTCCGACCACACTTTCAATAATGTAATTAAATATTTTATATGTCCCCAATCCAATCCAGAAAATATTTTTATTTATTTACTTACTATTTGGTGTTAGAAAATCTTTTTTATGTCGCTAATTTAGAGGGTTTCACTATTTGTCCTTATTGGCTAGTTACCAGTTACGCGAACTTTCTTTATATGGCGGGATTCTTGACAAAAATTAAGGTGAAAATATTCACCGTAACGAAAACACCACTCAACGGTGGAATTCTTATCTTATCATACTCTTTAATATAGTTATTTTCTTTTAAGTCTAAAATACGGGATTGTAGTGTAAAACAATTTAAAGTTCATATCTCCTTTTATCTCTCCAACGGAATTTGATCCTCTCTTTTTAATTTCCTTTTTTTTTTTTTTTGTGGATATAGAGCATTCTTATCCTAAGATAAAGAGAGAATCAGAGGAATCTGGTCAAGTGAGTCAACATTAGAGGGGAGTGAGTGGTAGAGTAAGAGACAGTAAGGAAGGAGAAGCAGCAGCAGCGGCAGCCAATATGGGGAAGAAGGATGGTGGTGATTGTGATCATGGTACAATAGTGATGATTGTGATGTTGTTGATAATGGCAATGGGTTTATCGTTTGCTTCTTCAGCTTCAGCTGCAGCAGCTTCTTCGCAACTCAGACGAAATCTGCTTGCCAACGGACTTGGACTCACTCCTCCCATGGGGTAGAATTTTACTCATTTACAAACTATATAAAATTAATATTCTTGCCTCCTTTGATCGATGGTCAGCCACAGCCAGTCAGATCAGATTCTAAGATATATATATATATATATATATATATATTTATATTTCAGCAAACTTACGAAATGGGAAGCAATTTATTTTCCTTCTGCTGTTTTTACGCACTTGGAGTGTTATATATATCAACAACTACAAGAGGCCGTTTGCGTTTAAATCCTAATATTATATATATCAACATGTGCCGCAACCCACAACTACAATTTTATTCAAATACTTGCAAGCTTGTGGGATTAAGATTAAATGATTAATGTTGTTTTCTTTGCTTGCTTAATTAGGTGGAATAGTTGGAATCACTTCAACTGCAAAATCGATGAGAAAATCATCAAAGCAACCGGTAACTCCAGCAACTTAACTCTTGCCTACTCATCAAAGCCATGTTTTGTTTCCAAAGCTTGCTTAATTTCTCTGGTTGGTTTGACAGCTGATGCACTGGTTTCCACTGGTCTCTCTAAACTTGGATATACCTATGTTAACATAGGTATCCTTCTTCTCTCTTTTTTTGTTTTTTGGGTAGCTTGGTACTTTCCAATTTTAATAAAAGCTGATGCTCTCTATATCTATAGATGATTGCTGGGCCGAAATTGCTCGTGATCACAAGGTATTTGTTTCTATTTTTCATCACAAACAAGCTCGGCTGTAAAAGTACTGAACATGCATAAAATTTCATACGCAGCGCAATCTAGTGCCCAAGAAATCAACATTTCCATCAGGCATTAAAGCTCTTGCGGATTATGTTCACAGCAAGGGTCTTAAGCTAGGAATTTACTCAGATGCAGGGTAACACATCTAACTCTCATACACCCCATCCCATTACAGATATATGCTACATGTAGAGCCGTTCTTGAATGTTGATATATACTTAAAGTACAACTAAACAAATAGTACATTCGCTTATACTTTGCAGGTACTTCACTTGCAGCAAAACCATGCCTGGTTCACTTGGCCACGAAGAGCAAGATGCCAAAACATTTGCTGCCTGGGTACGATATATATGTTGGAATCACTTCACTCAATAAAAAGGACTCATAACATCTCCAATGATGATGATATGTTGTCACAGAATCTTGAAATGCTCATGCACTTTCTTTGCAGGGAATTGATTATTTGAAGTATGATAACTGTAATAATGATGACTCCAAGCCAACTGTTAGGTAAAATACCTAGAATAGCTATGATGATACCGCACAAAGTACTTTCCTGCCTGCACTTAATTTTCCCGGGATAAGGTCTCCATATGACAAATACCTTTCTACAAATATTTCAACTCTTCTTGTAGGTACCCTGTAATGACCCGAGCTCTGATGAAATCAGGTCGTCCATATTCTTTTCGCTTTGTGAATGGTAATGGTCCTGTTTGCTTAAATTCAAAAACCATGTATCGTGTTTTTCTTAGTAATAGGCCTAAGTTTTTAATTTTGCTTTCTATTTCGTTTTTTAGGGGAGATTTGCACCCTGCTCAATGGGGTGCTAAAGTAGGAAATAGCTGGAGAACTACTAATGACATTTCTGATACATGGGAAAGGTAGAAACATGTATGCGCTTCCGTTGACTCTCAATTTGGTCTCATGTTTTTGGGGTCTCACTCTCACATAATACCTTTTTATTGGCATTTTGCTTGGCAGTATGATCTCTAGAGCTGACGTGAATGAAGTTTATGCTGAATTTGCCAGACCTGGTGGCTGGAATGGTGAATATTCCACTAATGCAACCAACAACCCCGTTTTACATATACTGTCATTTGGGTTGGGCACACTGTTGAGTGTTGATGTTTCACTAAGAGGTTAATCTTATTTATCTGCTGAAATTTGAACAGATCCTGACATGTTAGAAGTGGGGAATGGAGGAATGACAAAAGATGAATATGTAGTCCATTTTAGCGTATGGGCCATTTCTAAGGTACCATAAACTTTAATATGCTAGATGCTCTTCTTTATATGAAATGTGCAATTTTAGGTCATCTGTTTGGTTACACATGAGCTGTGTTGCAGGCTCCCCTTCTTCTTGGCTGCGATGTGAGGAATATCACAAAAGAGAACATGGAGATCATTGCAAATAAAGAGGTTATCTCTGTAAACCAAGGTAAGTACAAGCTTTGGACGGACACTGATTTTCCTTCCTAGTGAGTGAAGTGAACGATCAAGTTGCACTAATAGCGGAATTTTGATTTTTATGATGGTTAACTGTAACAGATCCACTTGGTGTCCAAGCTAAAAAGGTCAGATCAGAAGGGGATCTGGAGGTAAAAATGAAAATGCCAGCAAATCTCTTGTGATATGTATACATAACGTAAGTATTCTGTCATTGTGTGTGTAACTCTGAAATTTGAATGAACAGATTTGGGCGGGGCCCCTTTCAGGATACAGAGTAGCTCTACTCCTTGTCAACCGAGGCCCTTGGCGAACTGCAGTCACAGCTCACTGGGATGACATTGAGATCCCCACAAACACTGTTGTTGAAGCAAGAGACCTCTGGGAGGTATACTAATTCTTTGTATTATCAATCATCTGTTTTTTCTCAATTCTTGCTACTTTTGGCAGCTGTGTTGTAATTTATGGGAGATATTTACTGATACCTTGCTTTCTGTCATGCAGCACAAGACATTGAAGGCACAATTTGTCGGAAACTTGACAGCCACTGTGGACTCTCATGCATGCAAAATGTATGTTTTGAAGCCAGAGTCTTAACCATGTATGAGTTGAGTTCTGTTGAATCAGAATGTTCATGGTGTTGATGAGAGGTCTCTGAGGTCTCTCTCATTAATGTTTGTCGCATTCATGGTTTACAATCTACGAGCTGTTCCTATTTACCATTTGACCAAAACTTGACTTCCAATTAATAACAATCTGGAGGAAGCAAATTAGTTCCTCTTCTCCGCTGATTTTTATGTGTGCGTGTGTGTGTGTTTGCGTCTTGTGGCGGATGGGCCTCCCCTCAAGGGAATGAGTGAAACTTGTGCAATCTCATCTGTTTCAGTGGTGGTGTGTCTATGACCTACCTGCATGTATGTTAGCTTAGATTCCTCTAATTCAGATTACAACATTTGACACACATAGTATTGATAAAAAACTTGGCGCGGGTTAGCGCTATTAATGGCCATGCGCTTAATCTTGATTCTCATGAGTGATTTTAGAGAACAACCCAATTCTCACAATCACGGCTCACGAGTACTCTCACTTAGGTGAGTCCTCCAAGAGTACATGTGACCTGTACTCTGCAGGAGATTGCCCGCCTTGGAACTCATTCAGGACAATGTCCTTCCTTAACATCATATATCATTAGCACAAATGTCATAGGGATGCGCAGGGATTTTATTTCAATTCTCCTATTTTAGAGTGTTGGAATATAGGTCGCACAATATGGATTGTTTCTACCCATTGAACCTTCTTCATGGGATCTCCAATCACAAAGGTTGGATTTCTTCTCTAGGTGACTTCCTTATGGGTTTAAGCCCATCCCCCTCAACAAATCTGGGACTCCATTCCTAGATAGACCTTTGGTCAATTGATCTGCAATGTTCTTTTCCGACTTCACATAGTCTAAAGAAACAACTTCTTTATTTAACAAGCTTCTCACAGATTTGTATCTAACATTAATATGTCTATTTAATTTCTTATTTGTATGTGTCTACCATACTAAATCTATCACGGCCTTATTATCACAATGCATGGAAATGGCAGGTATATGCTTGCTCACCAAAGGGATATCAAGCAAAAAGCCTCTATACATGCATTATCAAGAGCTATGAGTTCAGATTCCATTGTACTTCTAGAAATTATTGTTAGTTTCTTAGATCCCCAAGATATAGCTGCTCCTCCCAATAAAAATACATAACCTGAAGTAGATTTCACTTCGGAGCTATTAGTGATCCAATTTGCATCACTGTACCCTTCTACAACATAAGGAAATCCTTTATAGTGTATAGAATAATCCATAGTTCCTTTTAGATACTTAAATACTTGCCTTAAAGCATTCCAGTGTTCTTTACTTGGATTATGAGTGTGTCTACTTAGCCTTCCAATCACATAAGCTATATTAGGTCTAGTTTTATTTTCTATATACACCAAAGACCCAATCATTTGAGAATACTGGAGTTGACACACGGTTTCAACACTATTTTTAAGTAAGCACACGCTTGGTTCATATGGTGTCGAGACAGGATTGCAATTGAAAAAGTTGAACTTCTTAAGTATTTTCTCAATTGAACTAGCTTGGTTTATAATAAAACATGCTTGTGTCCTTTCTACTTTCATTCCCAAAATACTATTGGCTTCTCCTAGATCTTTCATGTCAAATCTCTTTGATAGATAAGACTTAACATCTTTCACAATTTCCAGACTAGTTCCAAATAATAATATATCATTGACGTAAAGACATAAATAACACATTGTCCACTTTCCTTATAGTAGACACACTTTTCATGCTCATTAATTTCAAAATCATATTCTGAAATGACTTTATCAACTTCTCATGCCATTGCTTAGGAGCTTGCTTAAGCCCATATAATGATTTAGCCAACTTACACACTTTACTGTTTTGACCTTTCACTATAAATCCTTCGGGCTGCTCCATGTAAATTTCTTCATCTAAGTCTCCATTCAAAAATGTTGTTTTAACATCCATTTGATGAACTACTAAATTGTGTATAGAAGCTAATGCTATGAGGATCCTAATTGTGGTAATCCTAGACACAGGAAGGTAAGTGTCAAAATAATCAATTCCTTTCTTTTGAGTGAATCCTTTGACTACTAGCCTAGTTTTGTACTTGTCTATACTTCCATCAGGCTTCAATTTCTTCCTAAATACCCACGTACAACCAATTGGTGTAGTACTGGGTGGTAAATCCTGTTAACTCCCAAGTGTTGTTTTGTAAAATAGACTCAACTTCACAATTTATAGCTTCTTTCCAAAATGGAGTATCGACAGAGATCATGGCTTCTTTATATGTTGTTGGATCACCTTCAATTAAAAAATATATATAAAAATCATCGTCAAAGTTCTTCTCCACTCTAGGTCTCTTACTCATTCTAAGTTCTGATGGAGGTTCTTCTTCGTTTGTGTCTTGATGACTAATACTTGTGGAGGCTTTATCAGTACTAGTGCATGATCTATCTACCATTTGCTTTTGCATTCTAGTCTTGAAAGGAAATATGTCTTCAAAATATGTTACATCCCTAAACTCCAATATAGTGTTATTCGAATTTCATATATTTCAGAGTTGATGACTAAAAATCTATTGGCACTACTATCATGAACATAACCTAAGAAAACAGTATCCACAATTTTAGGTCCTATCTTCTTTCTCTTAGGTTATGGGATTGCAACTTTAGCCAAACACCCCCACACTTTCAAGACTTGGAGATTTGGTGTTCTCTTTTTCCAAATTTCATATGGAGTAGTAGTGTTGTCTTTAATGATTATTCTATTTAATATAAAACATGCAGTCAAAATTGCTTCACCCCACAAATTTTTTTGATAATCCAGAACTCAAAAGCATTGCATTCATCATGTCCAGTAAGGTCCTATTCTTCCTCTCTACAACTCCATTTGATTGTGGAGAATAAGGTGCAGTTACTTCATGTATAATACCATGCTCTTCACAAAAATACTAAGATCGGTAAGAGTGTACTCACTACCTCTATCAGACCTAAGTCTCTTTATCCTTTTCTCTAGTTGATTTTCCACATCTTGAATTTACCAAATACTTCGACCTTGGTCTTTATCAAATAAATATAACAATACTTCGAACAATCATCTATAAATGTGACAAAATACTTATTACCAGCTCTAGTAGGTAATCTATTTGAGTCACAAACATCACTATGTATAGGCTCTAAAACTTGGGTATTTCTTTCCATGGACTTAAAAGGTTTCTTGGGTTGTTTTGCTTGTACAGAAATTTCACACTTATGCTTAAGATTCACAAACATCACTATGCTTAAGGTTTCTTGGGCATAATTCTCATCATATTTTATTGTACTTTACTTATACTCTTATATTACGTGTGAAATGGGTTCATTCTCGCTCACAAACATACTTTTAAGTTCAAATTTATTCACATTTTTCACATCACTACACTTTATGGCTTCGTCACCCTCCTAGTGTCGGCCAACACAGCTCGATTCAGAGTCCAAATGGACATTTCGGATTGGGATGTGTCATAACATCTCTAATTAAATTTATAACAAAGTGAGATAAGTATGTGATCGTTAAAAGTGACTCTCACGTAATGTATGTACATGTGTGTATGTCCAATAATTTATTTATTTATTTTAATTAGGTTGTCTTGGATTTGTGACATGACTCATTTTAAACCTGACTTTCATGAATATATATGCAAAATGTATGAGAATTAGATACATTAAATGAAAAACATATTGAAAACCCAAAATAAAATAAAAAAAATGAAGAAAAGGAAACGAGAATTCGTCCCGTAAAGAAAAGAAAAATGGATAAGGTGGAGAGTTGAGGAAGGTGAGTGATGGGTGGCTAGTCCTGTCAATTTTGATTTGGGGAAGGAAGGAGATACAAGAAGGCAATGCTGTTTTTACTCACCCACTCGTCATATTGACGCACGCTTTAAGATATACCTTTACAAAAATTTATTTAATTTGAAGATCGTTTAGTAATTTGTATGAATCAAATTAATTGATTGTTAATTATAAAAATATAATTATTTACAATAACAATCAATCTGTTCGACGCATATAGATAACTATCAAATTGATAAATTTCTCTGAACATGATCTTAAATAATGATAAATAAAATAATCATTTTCGATTATGACATTTGAATATAAACTATAACCATGTGGCCAGTGAAAAGGAGTATTTCCCTCCAAATGGGAAGGAGGCAAATATCAGCTTATGGATTAGCAGGAGAAATGACCGCATATAGTTTTTGGAAGCGCAAGACAAAAAATGGTGATGAGTAAACAGATATTAGTAGCAAAATAGAAGTGACAAAAAATCAAAATGAGATCATAAAATATTAGGAGTTTTAACGAAATATAAACATTTTCGGTACTGTTTATTTTTAACAAAAAATCATATTTTTATCCGTTTTTTGATACTATTTATTATATATTTATTTATCATTTTTCTTTAAAACTAAATTTTTTTTAAACTTTTCTTTAATTTTCCTTAAAATATTTGAAAGGAAGAAGATTGAAAGGGGACAGATGAGAGATTTTCTCTAATTGAGCTCTTAAAAGTAATTTAAAAAAAATTTTAACTGTCACATTTGTAACTTTGGGTGGGTCCGGGTGGGGTGTGGGTCAGAGTTTGTATTTTTGGAGAGTTTAGAATTCAGATTTCAACAAAAGAAAAAAAATACAATAGATTTTAATTTTAAATCTTGTAAATACGGCGTTTGAAACTAACTAATTCATACCCAGGTCCGTGAAAGGAAAGCGGCTGAAGGTCGTAGTGCGTCTGCGTGCACTTAGTTATATATTGGCGCTGCTGCTGCCACTAGCCCCGCCGTTGCCATTTTATTTGAGCAATCTATTCTGCTCTGGTCTTGTCTGCTCCGGGGAATGAATGAATGAAATTGGAGTTGGAAGCAGAGGGATACTCGCTGAGGCGCAGTCTCTGGTAACAGTAACTACTAAATTCTTTTAAGAATACTCTAATTACTAATTAATTACTACTCTCTGCTGTACGGTACCTTTGTCTTTCGTCTTTCTGTCTCTCTGTCGCGTACATTTTCAATTTCAACTTTGACAATAAATGTAATTTTAGATTTTGTGACAACTTTGAGAGAATGTGAAGAAGAAGCAGCAACAGCGACAAAAGAAAGAAACCTCAACGTAATGTACCTCTGTGTTCTACTCTTCATATTTCCTATCGCTCTCTTCTCCCGATCTAATCTCTTTTATC